GAAATTTCCCTTTGCTTCACCTCATTGCAGAGTGGAGCAGGGGCGGGCAATTATTTTGGACAGAGGGCCGCTTACCCAGTTTTGGCAGGCTGTCAAGGACCTCATGGGTAGCCCTGCCTTTTGACAGGTGCCCTGCCCCTGCTCACCATCTTGGGACCAATGTCCCAGGGCCAGTGCCGGTGGGGCCCAGAGCAGGGTGCAGGCTGGCAGGGGTTTGTGAAGCTGGGCTGGGCTGCACCAGCAGGGAGAGCGGGGAGTTGGTCTGGCTTCATAGAGCCCCTGCCGGCCAAGACCCTGTACTCCTGCTGCCCTGCTCTGGGCCCTGCTGGCGCTGGCCCTGGGACACTGGTGCAGGGCCTGTGCTCCCGCACCCGCTCGCTCCCAGTGCCTATCCAGCCCTGTGGTACAGGTGGGGGGCAGCGCACAGTGCCAACCCCCTGTTTGCCAACGGGGGACGAGCTGGTGCTAAGCGCAGGGAAAAGCAACCCCTCACCTGCCCCATGGCCGGCGTGCCCAGCTGCAGCTGCTCACAGCCTGCGTGGGGCTGTCTGGAGCAGGCAGAGGCAGCCCCGTGAGGGCTGCAAGCGGCTACAATGCGGGGCAAGCGAGGGGCCACTTTTCGCCGCGCTCAGCACCAGCTCGTAACTCGACCCTGGTGCCAGGCTAGGCCCTGAGCCGGCTCCAGGCTTGCCCGTTGGGGCTGCACGCAGCAGTAGCAGCTGCGGCCCCCCCCTCTTGCCGCGCTGGGCAGTGTTGGCTGCTGCTGCCTGCCCAGAGCTTACGTGCTGGGGCACTGGCCATGGGGCGGGTGAGGGTCCACTTCCCTCACCTGCTCTCAGCTTTTCCCCGGGCCACTTTTCCCCAGGCTCCTTCCCTGCCTGGGGCCCTCCCTTGCCTTTCCCCACCCCTTTCCCCCTCACCTGCGGTTCCAGCGTGGGGCAGCTATGTGATCCCAGGCCAGAAGTCCCAGCTGGGGCTTCTGGCTGGGGGGGCGGGGCCGGGCGGGCCCTGATGTTGTGGGAGCCCACTGGGTTTCCCTTGGGTCGTACTGCCCTTGGTTCCTATCATTCTTTTACAGGAACCGAGGGCAGATGGATATTAATTTTCTAATTTTTTTAGGGGTCCCACGGGCCAGATAGAATGGCCTCGCGGGCTGGATCCGGCCCACAGGCCATATTTTATCCACCCCTGGGCTAGAGACCAGTGCTAGGTCAGCACAGGAGCTGGAGGTACAAGTGCAGCACAGGCAGGATAGTAACTAACAGGGTAAACTTGGCTAGCTCAGCAATGCCAGTAGCAAGGAAAATGAAGCAGTGCTGGCTACACACAGCCACCCAGGACTTTGGGTACCTGGGCAGTTAGTCTATCTTGAAGCCCATGTCCCCACCACTTCTGTCCTGAGAGAGCTTAGCCACAGTTGTCCATGCTCCAGTGCAGGCTCTCCCATGCTCTGCCCCTCTAGGGAGAGGAAGCAGAGAGCAAGGTCATGATTGCACTTGCCTTCTGTGGCTTTTCCTCCTTCAGGGCAGTGTTACATGTTCTCTGCCCATGCTAGCCTGGGATTTGCGGGACCAAGAAAAGCCAGCAGGATGTTGGTTAATAGACCCTGCTGTAATTCCTCTCTCTACCAAATGGATGCTTGCTGTCTTAGCAAGGTCATTTGGCACCAACCTTATTTGGTAGGTGTACCACAAAATAGCCCTGTGCCTTCCCGGCATGCCACTCTGACCCCTTTCTCCTGCTCCATCTTCTCTTCTGCTTTCTGCTCCATCTGCTGCTCTTCTTTCTGTTCCCTGTTCCATCTCCCATTGTGCTGCCTCCTCAGTCTGTTGTATGTCACTTGTGGCACATGTGCTTCAAGTTGGCCACCCCTGAGGTAGGTCAAATGGTGTGTGTTGGGGAGTCATCTGTCTGGTCCCTGCCTCTGCAGAAGGAAAATGTTCTTGGACTCCATGACCCAGGTAGAAAACTTGACTATTCTTTTAAAGACCTTTTGTTTTGCTGGGACTTTTCTGCGGCCCCATAGGGCATGCTCCCAGAGAGCACATTGAGCCTGTTTGAGATGGTCTCAGTTTTTCTGTCTATGCCCCAACTCCTGCATTGTGTAGCTGTTCCTACCCCAGCTCCTGGAGTCATGTGAATACATCAGATTCTGCTTGCAGTTAGTCGTTGTTTTTGTTTCTAGCCCTCTCATTTGCTGATAAAAGGCTGAAAATGTAGCCTCCTTCCTCGAGGCATGAATACCAGAAGACAACTGGAGACTCCTAAATCTAGTAACCTTTCTTGCTAGGAATTTTAAGCTGTTTCTGGGAGGAGAGCCCTGTCTCCTGACTTAATCTTGGGGGTAGGCAATAGTGTGGATCACAAGGCAGATCCTAGTGGGATGCAGACCTGGCAGAACAGCTTTCATGGCTGAATTCTTTTCTCCAGCTCTTCATAGGCTGCCAGACTCATGCAGAGTCTCATTCCTGTGGTGGCAACCAGTCCCATGGAAGTAGCTACATGTGTTGTATGGGTAACCTGCAAGGGGCTGTGCCAGAATCCATGGAAGCAGATTCTGTCCTTTATTCCCTCAGCTAAATGGATCACCCCTATTTCTTGTCCCTCTGCACTGTAGTTGGGAGCCAGCTTCATTCTATGGCTGAGGGCCTGGGAATACGATTACACTGAGCCAAGCATTGCTGGAGTGCTGCCTCCAACCTTTGCTTGCTGCTTAAGTACCTCAGAATAAGGTCACAGTCAATGATCTATAAACAGATTGTGACCACAAAGGCTTGCATTGTTCCTGAGACACCCCCCCCCCCCCCCCAGTCCAGGTCATCTAGCTACAGGCTCTAGCTCACACAAGCATCAGTTCATGTGAATGTGCAGCCAGGATAGTGCTGTGCTCTCACCTCCTGCTTAACATTTGCAGATCTGAACACGCCCCCACAATCAGCACTTTTCTAGCCCCAGCCTGTGACATTCAGGTAGGCAAAGGCAGCCTCATGCAAAGGAGGGAAGCTTTTCCCTGCTACATTATATACAGAATCAAGCCCTGGATCTTCCTGAACCAGGTGACATTTGTTATATTTTAAAGCTCTCCCAGCTGCTTCTTACATTGGTAGGTCTTATTGTGTTACTGTCCTGCTACCAGTGAGCATGGGGGTTTTACTGTTGTTTCTCTTCTGATTTAATGGGTGTCTCAGAACAGGGGTTTGTGCAGGAGGTGGAAGGTTGCCTTCTGTTTGATGTACAGTAATCAACAAAAGCTTGCAGTTACATAGACTTATCATATGGGTTGTGTCTGACTGCAGCAGAGAAAATATTCTTCCAGTTTACATGGAGAGAAAGGTCTTGGTGCCCTCACTGTTTTGCTGCTTCTGCCTCCTCTTGATTTCTGCTGGAAATCCAACTGGACTAGGTCATCTCCAAAGTATGTTCTTTGTATCCTTTCCAGGAGCCTATATCTGCTTAGGGAATTATTGTGGTTTGATCCTGTCTAGAGCCAATTGAGGCAATAGCTGTAGAGAGGCTGCTTCGGGTATCGTCCAGGCTGCCAATTTGAGATTAGTCTCTAGTCATAGTTTTCAGTTAAAATACCAGCCAGCTGACAACTCCCTGAACGAACATTTGGAAAAGCTACCCTACTACAGGTGACAGCTAAGGTTGAGGAGAAGAGGCCATGTTTTAATAATGTGATCCAAATGCATGTCTGGGGAATAACAGCTTTAAGCAAGAGCTGAGGGCATTCTGACCAGCCTAGTGATCCTCCATTGGCAGCCAGAGATGGGGAGCTATATCTGCTTTATGGGAACAGTTTAGATCATGTCCTGGTCAATCTAATGTGTACTCCTTTGTCCTCTAGGAAACAGAGGTCCCTCACCAGTTTCCCAATGAGATTCCTCACAACGAGAAACTCCTCTCTCTTAAATATGAGGTGAGCACTCAGTTCAGCATAACCATGTTATCTGCCACTTAAACACCTGATTCTCAGTGATCTGAAAGCTGTTGGTGTCCAGGCCATAGAATCATAGGGCTGGAAGGGACCCCGAAGGATCATCGGGTCCAGCCCCCTGCATGAGCAGGAAAGACATCTGGGGTCAGACGACCCCAGCCAGGTGACTGTCCAGTCTTCTCTTGAAGACCTCTAGGGTAGATGATTGTACCACCTCTGGGGGGAGCTTGTTCCATAGTCTGGACACCCTAGTTGTAAAGAAGCTTTTCCTAATGTTCAGCCTGAAACTATCTTCTAGGAGTTTGTGGCTGTTGTTTCTAGATTTCCCCCAGGGAGCCTTGGTGAACAGTTGTTTGCCATGAACAGTTGTCTTTGCCATGAGTGCACAAGGGGAGCTGAGGAGAGCAGGAGGTGATTTGGTGGGGGATTATAAAATGGTAGGATGGAAAACTCATCAAGGGGATTGGCCTCATGGTGTGGGGGTAGGAAGTCCTTACAGCAGTGGTCTCCAACCTTTTTATGGTGAATATCATCTTTTAGTAGCAAAGGGATCTATCACACCCCCCTGCCTCACCCCTCCCTCCTCTCCCCCAGTCTGTGGAGTGTCCCAGACCTGGCTGGGCTGGGCCAGGGCCCAATCCCACTTCTGTGCTGTGGCTGTGCTGAGCCGCGTCTGCCCAGTGGCCAGATTAAGGTGGCGTTGGGCCCTGGCCCAGCCGGATCTGGGATTCTCCATGGTCTAGGGGCGTGTGGGTTGGGGAGAGGCTCCTGCTGTGTGCAGCTTGGCAGAGGCCCTGGGGGCCCGTGCCCCCCCACCTATGCTCCAGAGACCTCAGGGGCCCATGTCCTGTGTCGTGTGTGTCCCCGTCGTCGTCCCGTGTCGTCCCCCCCCCCCCCCCCCCCCACTTGGGGAGGAGGCTGCTGCTGCTGAGGGTTGCCTGCTGCGTCTGGAGCGCAGGTCGGGGGGGCATGGACCCCCAAGGCCTCCTCAAGGCTGTGCCCAGTGGTGGGAGGCCCCCTACCCCCATGCGCACCTGGGCCGTGGTCAGTCCCAGACCCGGCCGGGCTGGGGCCCAGTGCCACATTCATTTAGCTGCCAGGTGGCTGTGGCTCAGCGCAGCGGCAGCACAGAAGTGGAATCGGGAACCAGCCTGGCTGGGTCTGGGAAGACCTGGTCATCCAGGGGTGTGTGGCAGGGGCAGGGGGCTCCTGCTGCTGGATGCAGCTCGATGGAGGCCCTGGGGACCTGTGCTCCACCCCGCCACCACCTGTGCTCCTAGAGCACAGGTGGGGGAGGGGAATGGATCCCCACTGCCTCCTCCAGGCCCCCCCACCCCGCATGTGCCCCTGGACAACCAGATCTTTCCAGACCTGGCTGGGCTGAGGCCACCCCCACATGAGTCTCCACTGCTGAGCTGAGCTGTGCCTGGCCAGGCTCCAATCCTCCCACCACTCAGCTGGGCTGGGGCCCCACTTTCTGCTGCTTCTGGCTGGGCTGCACAGTCAGTCACTCACCGTGGGGGCCTTGATCTGGCTCCCACCCCACAGATTGACCTGCTGGGGCTGAAGGCAGCAGGTGTGTGCATGCGTGCGTGCCCAGCTGTCCCACCAGCGCAGAGTTGGCCCAAAGAGGCTCCGGGATCTACCTGTCAATTGGGATCCCCAGGTTGGTGACCACTGCCTTACAGGGTAGCAAGATGCCTGTTTCCAAAGTAATCAGTGAGATTCGAAAGGGCAAGAGGTGGAGAAGTGGAGTTAGACCATAACATGATAGGGGGTATGTGGCACAGTCAGGATGAGGTATATTGTGTTGGGGAGGGTGGAACAGAGCTGAAGGCTCCCTTTTCTTCCACATGTTGGCTAATAACCACCTCTCTGTTCTCCTGAATCTAGAGCCTGGATTATGACAACAGTGAAAATCAGTTGTTTTTGGAAGAGGAAAGGAGAATAAACCATGCGGTGAGCGTGCCAGTACCCTAGTTCTGAGTAAACTGTGTGCGCACAGTCCTGGGCTGAGGATCTGATCCCACCTCCCACAGTGCAATCTGGTCAAATGCCACTGAAGGATAGGGAGAAAGAAACAATTTCTCAAGAGCTTAACCAACTGCTTATGAAAACAAATTACCCCCTGAACCCACATGCAGGTTAACCTCTGTGTGGTGCTACCATTGGACAGGAGTTTGCTCCTCAGCTGTCTCTTACTGAGGTGCACACACAGACAAATGACAACACCCTCAAGGAGGGGCGGCAGCAAGCTGCCCCAGTGAATCCAAGCGTAGAAGGGGGTATGTACACAAAACGAATTAAAAACCCAGACTTACAAAGTGATGACACTGTTATCTGGATATGATCCCAAACCCAGGAGAGATCAATAAGAACCATGTGCCATGACAGGGGATGTGTTGGCAGGAAACAGGGAGGGGAAGTGTAAATAGCCCAATGGAGGGGAAAATGCCTAGATTCTCTAAGTACATCAGACATAGCCTGTGTGAGAAGCTGGTAGGCCTGCTGCAGCACCCAGGAGTAAAGGGGGAAACTTCAGAGAGTGAGGGTGCTGCAAAAGGCAAAATAATTTCTTTGTACCTGTACCACAGACTGTGGAAATTCCATTCCAAACAGAATGTGATGTGGGCACATACTGGCAAGTTAGGCCTTGGTCCTTGCACCCACAAGTAACTCTGTGCAGGCAGTGCAATAGAAGATACTTTTCATGGGACACCTGACTCTTAACTCCTTGGTTGTGTTAGCAATGGAAACAAAATGCTTAAATGTGTTAGTAGTGGAATAGGAAACAGCATGCTGTTATGTGAATCAGAAGTACATCCTCTGCTAAAGGAAGCTTCCTCTATGGGCAAGCCATTTCTGTGGGAATACCACTGAGTGTATGTGTGAAGTCCCCAGGTGAGAGGGATTTCTAACATGTCCTGCCCACAGTGGATATTTGGATGGTTAGTGCGTACTCTCTCGTGAGCATTCCAAGGACTAAGAGTCTGATGTCTCTTGCAGGCATTTCAAACAGTGGAGATCAAACGCTGGGTCATCTGTGGCATGATTGGGATTCTCACTGGCCTTGTCGCCTGTTTCATCGATATTGTGGTGGAGAAGCTGGCTGGGCTGAAGTACAAAGTGGTGAAAGACAGTATCCTTCTGGCTTCTGCCAGGTGTGCTTTGCCTGTGGACTTGGGGAGTGAGCGGTACTGGGGCAGCTATGGAGGGGGCAGGGCAGGGATCTTCATGAGAAGAAGTGAGGGGCTGGGAGAGCAGTCAAAGCAGTTGGGAAAGTGAAATAGTTGGTGGCTCTGCAGCAACCATAGGTAAAGCTTAAAATGAAGCACCTCTACCATAAGGCCCGCATCTCTGGTGAGATCTGAGAATGCACTTTGCTACTCTTAAGTACTCTGTTCCCTTGTAATCCTGGTCTGGAAGGGAGTTTCCTTCCAGTGGCCTTACTGCGTGGAGCATGGCCTCCATCTGGTAGCAGCTCCTGCTCCTGTTAACTCTTGTGAAGTCTGACCTTGTGTCATAGGGCTGATGGGTCCAAGAGAGCAATGGGAAATTGACCTGAAAGCTGAAGGCCAGTGTTGGAGCAAGGCAAGTTCAAATTTATTATTGTCCTCCTCAGCCCTGCCAGTCTACCTATTTTTGGCATGTTCAGATGTTCTATATTAAAAACCCTGTTGTGGCTGTTGGGTGCTAAAGTGATATGGTTTAGTTTTGTATGGTGACTATCAAGACTGTGGCCCTGTGCCCTGCAGACCAGCCCCCTGTGCATGAGCTGGAGTTGTGGCAAGACTTGCTGAAATGTACTTCTGCCTGGAGCTGGAACTCTTTGGACTTCCAAATACAGCTATTTTTTTGTTTTTTAATGAAAAACTGTTGAAATGTCCTAGCTATTTTATGTCCCTTCTGTCTGGCTCAAAGAGGAGTGGGCCTGTAGAGTTTAGCTCAACTCCGGGTTGGAGAGAGAGGCAAGGGTCTAACTTAACTCATGCACCTTCAGTTGAGTTGCTTAATCTCAGTTACCAATGCCTGCACACACCCCGTTGTCTGTGCTGGCTGCTTGGATCTCATACTCCTTGGACAGGAAATGCCCCTTTGCTACATCTGCTCAGCACAGTGGGGTGCCCTGTCTTGGCTGGTGCCTCTAGGTCAGGGGTGGGTAAAATATGGCCCAGGGGCCAGATTCAGCCCACCAACTGATTGGATCCAGTACCTGGGGGTGGTGCCTGCCAATTGATTGGATCCAGCCCATGGCTGCTCCCATAGTGTTCTGCATGGGGCCCAGCCCCACCCAGAGCAGCCTACACCCAGCCCTCGTCAAAGTGGTCTTTCTGTTTTGATGTGAAATTAAAGTCTTAACATTTTCTGTTGCAACAGTTTAACATCTGGACCATAAGAGATGTCCTGTACTGTTCAGTCGGGGGAGAGGCCCCCAGACAAGGAGGGACTGATGTTTGGCGCTAGTGAAAGTAATACAGAACTTGCCAGCTGAGTTGCCTGCTCACTCGATTAAACCTTGTAAAAACGTATTTGCTGCAGTGTGGAAATCCTTTAACACTTTGCCTGCTGCCTGCCACTTCCTGAGCAATACATTTAAATGTGACAGAACTTCCTTAACTGACCCTACCAGATATTGACAAGTTCACCGAGAAGGGGGGCCTGTCTTTCTCCCTGTTACTCTGGGCGACACTGAACTCCAGCATGGTGATGGTTGGCTCCATCATTGTTGCTTTCATAGAGGTAAGAGTTCAAAACTTGCTGCACATAGGTGGCTCTTTGTGTTTCCCCTGTGCTGTCTCTGTGGTTGAATGTGCAGATTCACCAAGTTTGATGTTCTGTTCCAAATTCTGCTCAAGGAATAAGAAGTCACCATTTCCTGTGATGCTGTTGTCAGCTCTGGCACCTCCCTGTCTGCTCTGTTCTGCTTCCCCTGCTGGAGCATGAAACATCACAAAATAACTGGGCCTGAAAAGCTTTCCACTCTAAACAGCTAAATGGAATTACAAGTCTTCTTGTAACTGATGCAGAACCATCTTGACTATGGAATTGCCAGCTGATGAAATTTCTTTGAGGGATTATTATACTGATTTGAGGAGCTGCTGTATTTTCATAGGAAAATATGTGAAGATGATGGATATTGATTTATTTTTGCTCTTTCTGCTCCTGGTTCCTCTGTGGCTGAGCACATGGCAGTACTGGCTCAGGGCTGTGACACAGGGTTTTCTCATTAAGTAATGCTCAGATGACAGTATTAAAGTAGGACGATGCTGTTTTCCAGCTCAGCCCTAACTTTCCTAACTGCACACAGCCATTAATGGTGGCTGTTGAGAATTCTGGTAGGAGGAATCTAGCAGATGTTGGAAGCATAGGTAGCCAGGTGTCTTGGAGGAGGCTCTGCAGAGCAGCAACAGTAATAGGAACTCTGAATCTAATCCTAAATTGATATAAATAGGTGCTGCTCCATTGACTTCTTAAACCTGTGCTCATTTATACTTGCTCTGGACTCACACTGCGCTTCTAAATTGCCTATATACTTCAGCATTCAAGCAAAACTAAGGAAGTTATTCTCCCACTCTACTCGGCATTGGTGAGGCTGCAGCTGGAGTAGTGCATCCAGTTCTGGGTGCCACACTTCAAGAAGGATGTGGAGAAGCTTGAGAGAGTCCAGAAAAGAGCCACTCTTATGACTTGAGGCCTGAAGAGCAAGCCATATGAGGAAAGGCTAACAGATATGGGACTGTTCAGCCTAGAAAAGAGAAGACTTCATGGGAATTTGGTGGCAACTTACAAATATATCGGCAGGGAGTATCAGGGACCAGGTGAACAACTATTCACCACAGCGCTCCAGGGGAAAACCAGAAGTGCAATGGTCATACACTCCTAGAAGGAAGTTCCAGACTGGATATAAGGAAAAGCTTCTTTACGGTTTATGTGACCAGACTCTGGAATGCACTTCAGTCAGGGGGTGGTGCAAGGTACCTACCCTGGAGATCTTCAAAAAGAGACTGGATGCACACCTTGCTGGGGTTATTTGACCCCAGCAGTCTTTGCTGCCTAGAGCAGGGGGGGCTGGATCCAGTGATCTCACAAGGTCCCTTCCAGGCCTAAACTTCAGTGAATCTGTGAAAACCTTAGGTAGAAAAAATGCTGTTGATATAAATGGAAGACAGCAAAAGTCAAGGGTTTTTATCGAGCATGCATTATTGCTTTACCAAGGTAACAAATTGACCAGTAACAAGGCAAATGAGCAGTCTCAAAAAATTTTTATCAGGTTGGTGATACTTTAACTGAGTTGGATGGGACCATGTTTTGCTCTGCATTAGCCCAACTTTGCTTTGTGAGGAGGTTTAAGAAATACCCTGTTCCTTCTAAAGAGGGAGGCCCTCTCTTCCCATTGCAGTAGCCTTCTGAAGAGGCAGAATGCTAACAGGAACAAACATGGTCCCCTTTCTAGGATTTCTTGAGTGTATATTAACAATCTTTACAGAAGCAATAATTTGGTCACTGGGGTCCCCCTGCTTTACCTGTGGCAGGCTGTGTTGTGGCAGGGTTGACTGTAGTTTTTGCTATGAGGTTGGACAGTGGATTTGTATAGGATGGTTTGGATAGTTATGATCCTGCCTCGGGCAGGGGGTTGGACTAGATTCATGGAGGTCCCTTCCAGCCCTATTTCTCTATGAATCTGTGATCCGAGTGCTGCATGCTTGTATCAGCTCTCGTTCTGCTCTTTGTACATCCTTCTCCAGAATGGCCTGAGCGAAAAGTGGTGGTATAGTTCTTAATGACCAGTACTCAATACCCAATTAAGGAACTCCCACACACCATCAAGCAGCAGTTGAGTTTAGCAAAGCCTTTTCTCTGTTAAGCCTTCGCTGTCCTCTAAAGCACAGAACTCGTCCTGTGCTGTAGAGGGAAACAATGGAAATGGTAACCTGCAGTGCTGCCCCTATTCCACTCCTCAGCCAGGGGGTCTGTACTCTCTCTGGGGTTAGCTTGGAAGAATAGCTCCTGGGAGAGAGCCTGGCTTGTTGGCATCTTTCCCAAAAAGGAATAGTCATGCATCCATTATGGACCAAGCCAGCTCAGCCTACTCAGCTTGTTGCCTGTTTGCTTTCAGGCTAGTGAATCTAGTTCTGCCTGAGGTCAATTAAGATGTTGCTTTTAAAGCTGCTGTGGAGATGGCAGCAGAATCTTTCCACAGAACACTCCTGTGACTGTAAGTTTGCATCTAAGAAAAGAGCTGTCAGCTGCCCAGGGCCCATTCTAGGTCCAGCAGAAGGGGTTATGGGAGCAGGATTCCTTGAAGGGAAGGCCACTCATTGCCCCTCATGATCTACCTTGTCTTTGCATGGGGGAAATGCACTGCAACAGTCGAGGAGGTGTACCCAAGGCTTGGTTCTGTGTGGGATGATGGAAGTCATTGCATAATGGTGAATGTTGATGCTTTTCCTTTTGCTTGCAGCCTGTAGCAGCTGGCAGTGGGATTCCCCAGATCAAGTGTTACCTTAATGGTGTGAAGATTCCCCATGTTGTTCGGCTCAAGGTAAAATGCGGCAGGAGGTTGGGGTTTGGCTCAGGGACAAGAGTACTCCTGCACTTCCCCAGTCCAGCCTGAATTAGGGAATTTCCCTGTTCCTGTGTGGTGGGGGTAAGTGCAGATGGTTATTTGGGTGGGCCTTCCTGGCATCCTCCACAGCAGCCTTCTACTCCTGTGCTGGTGTCCCAGGGCTGCTAGGCACTATTCACCCATCCTTATGCTTGTCATGATCTGAGCGCGTTCATGGCACAGCTCTGCTAGAATAGCCCTGGACTCTTTCTTTTCTAACACATACAAGCAGTGGTAGCTGTTGAGTCCTCAGGTTCCAGCAGTTGGATTATATCCCCTGCATTTTGAGTGACCCTGGGGACCATTTTACCTCCAGGTGCCTCTGATTAAAAAACATGCAATTACAGCAGTCTTTTGGGCCCTCTGATGAATTGTCAGTGCCTCTTTATCCAGGGGAAGGGGTGGTGAGGGGGTAGGATGCATGCTTTGACAGTGGGGGAACAGTTTTGTAGGTGAGCAGGCCCATGAGATTACACTAACACTGAGCTCTAAATGGCACACAGGATGAGGAGGGTCTTCCTGTCATTGTGTTGTCTGTATCTGTATATGGGACCCTCTATGTAGGCAGCAGGGCTTTGAGGCATCTGGGATTTCCTGCTCTGGGCACTTGCTGGTCCCTGGACATAGTGGGCTACTGGCCTTTACTGCCAGGATTTCTACTGGCTGCTGCTACAAGGGTTTATATTTCAGCTGTGAGAGAGGCTGTTGTAAGGCAACTTGTACTGGAAGGGGTTAAGAAGCCAGCTCCAGGCTGAGCAATGACCCTCAGTCAAGAGCCAAAGGGCTTGTCTTTGACATCCTTCATTCCCACCCCTGTAGCCAGAAAGGTACTGGGTACCTGCCTCAGTTGTTGCCTGTTGCTTGTGATCTCTGGGAAGGTGAGGAATGGCTGAGGCAACCAGGCGCTTTTCCTCCTCCCCCTAGATCAAATTGTCTTTGTTGCTCATCTCCCCCACTCCAGCATGGCCAGTGACTTGCAGATTCCTGTGGTAGCAAAGGACTTTCCTTTTTTTGCAGACTCTGATGGTTAAGGTCTGTGGAGTGATTCTCTCAGTGGTTGGAGGCCTGGCTGTGGGGAAGGTAATCTGCTGAGGAAGAGAACTGGACTCTCATCAACCTCCATCACAGGGTGACCTTGGCTCACTGTCAGTGTGCAATGACCACCCAGTGTCACACACTCCCTTCCTATATTGCTTGTTGCATGTGTCCCAAGATTACTGCACTGTCATACACAGCCATGTGTTTAGGGGCAGCTCCCTGTTTTCATGGGACAATTGTTTTCCTTGACTCCAGATTCTATGCTGAACAAGGCTGAAGGCAGGGGCATAGCAGCCCATGGCCTTGCTGGGCTCTTACAAGAGGCCCTATAGGAGATGAACCCTGTAAATTGCTGCCTGCTGTACCAGAAGGTGCCCTGCCATAGAGCCCCAATGGGACCTTAGCAGGCAAAAGTGCAGTCATATATGTAATTTCTGTGATTACAAATGGTAGGTGTGTGTACTGGAGTCCAAGGGTTCCCTGTTAATTGCTGCATTTGTGAGCATACCTTTTTGCTGTCTGCTCCAGACAGCATGCTGGTTTGTTTGTGAACATCTGAACTTGGAAGTGTCTCAAAAACCACTTGTAGAATTAGGAATTTGGGGGTTGCCATAAGGCTTGCATTTCCTGAGAGGGTATTTCCTTTCCTGGAGCTAGGGCTAATGAAATAGTATATTCCTACTCTCAGCCTCAGTGTGGCCAAAGTTCTTGGGGTCCAAGTTTGGTAGGAGCTAGTTCCCTGCACATACTAGCATCTCAAGCCAGGGTCTTGAAGGAGAAATGGGCTTTTTGACTAATGTCTGCTTTTCTGTTCTTAGGAAGGGCCAATGATTCACTCTGGAGCAGTCATTGCAGCTGGGATCTCACAAGGAAGATCCACATCTTTGAAGCGTGACTTCAAGGTTAGTTTGTTCACCTGAAAAGAGGGTGGTGAGCACATGCATGCTGGGAAAGGGGTGTGGCTATCAAGTCCTCCTCCAGAAGGGTGCATTGGACCCAATACACAGTTTCTCTGTTGCAAGTTCTTTGTGTCTGAATCACTTTTAAGCAACTTGTGCAGAGGTAAAGTCCCCTTTGTTGCATTTCAGATCTTTGAATACTTCCGCAGAGACACAGAGAAAAGGGATTTTGTCTCGGCTGGAGCTGCTGCTGGTGTTTCGGCTGCTTTTGGTGCCCCTGTTGGTAAAGCATCATGGTTCTTCTGCTATTGTATATTCATGCACAGACCAGCTTCTTCCATAGATCTCTAGAGTCGGAAGGGACCTGGTAGATTATCGGGTCTGACTGCCTGCTCCAGGCAGGAAAGAGGGCTGGGGTTAAGTAACCCCAGCCAGATGCCTATCTAATCTCCACTTGAATACTTCCAGGGTAGGGGAAAGCATCACAACCGTAGGAAGCCCATTACATATTTTGGCAACCCCTACCATAAAGAATTTCTTCCTTTTGTCCAATCTAAATCTGTTCTCCTTCAGTTTGTGGCCATTATTTCTGGTAACCCCTGGTAAACGACAGTGTCCCCCCTATTCCCTGCTGACCCCATCACTGCAGGGGATGTCTGCATCACTATGCTATTGTTAACTACCTCTTCAAGGGATACCCAATTTTAGCATTTAGATCAGTGTTTCTCAGACTGTGGGTCACGACCCAAAAGTGAGTCGCAAGAATTTATGAAAGGGTTATGGACAAATTTTAAAAGTGGACCAGCAAACTTTAAAAATGGATTCTTCTTTAAAGGAGAAAAACATGGGAAACCATGGTTTTTCCCTTGCAGGCTGGAAAGCTCTTGGAGACGTTTTCATTCCCCACCACTTACCCACCCACCCCTCCCTGGTGGGACTGCCTGGCAGTGATCAGTACAAGATCAGTCAGAAAATTAAGGTTTTTCCTGTGACTGCGGTGGGGGCAAGGGGAAGACTGTCAGTTGATCACATGTCCCTCCCTCTGTTAGAGGAAGTAGGTTGCACTTGATATACCTTGGGCAGCAGCCCCTTCCCCACCAGCAGTTTTGGGTGCTGCTTGTTTCCTGTTGAGCAGTTTCTGAAACTGCAACTTTCAAATCTCCCCCTGCCGTACTTGTTACAGAGCTTAGATAGAGCTGGAACTGAATCATTTTCCCCAGGCTCCAACTTTCCCTGTCCTCTGGGTGGCAAAATACAATGTTCTTTACCGTGGCAGCTTGCTTCTGCTGAGATCATATCTGATACTCTGGCAACTCCCTCTTTTATTTTTCAGGTAAACCCCTGAGAAATAAGGTGGGAGGGCAGGGAGCTGTGAAGTACAAATACAGCCATAATACATGTGTGTTATTCAGGAAGTCATCTCCTCCACCGACTTCAATTTGAGCCTTGAAAAAAGAGTCCCAAACAACTTAGGTGGAGCAAAGAGTGATGTGCCCTGGGTTGAGTAGAGCTAAGAGGCCTGTCAGCCCCACCAAATCCCTCCCCTTTGCAGTCAGCCATAGCTGAGAGTATACATACAGTGGGTCTTCATGCTATGTTCTTTTCTCTGCATGCCCGAATTGGTGTGTGAGATGTGATTTGCTTACTGCATATATGCAGAGCTTGTAAGTGAAAGCTGTTGCTCCAACTGGTAGCACAGCTCTGGCCCATGGTAGTCCTTGAAGAAGGAGGTTGTAGGTCACTGAGCAAGCCTTTTGCAATGGTGGTGTGTTTTGTGTTCCCAGGGGGAGTTCTCTTCAGCTTGGAAGAAGGAGCTTCCTTCTGGAATCAGTTCTTGACGTGGAGAATTGTAAGTGTCAGAAACCCAAAGTGAGGAGGAAGAGGCAAGGTCTGCTTGCATGCTTATGCAGAACCTGGTGCCATGGGACTGTGGGCACTTAGCACTTGGAAAATATCACCTCCTTGAGCACTAACTTCTGAATTGGCTTTTGGCGTCATAGCCTTAGTTTCAGCTACCCATTTCCCACAGGTTACCTGGGCTGGGGAGGGGCAGAACTGCTCTGACCTGTGTCCTGGAGATTGGGTTTGTGGCTTGTGCTCCATTCAGAATGAAATGGCAGAGTGAATCTAGGGCAAAGTTTTCTTGGCACAAAGCCTGAGATCAGAAGGGAAAATGCTGATGTTTCCCCTCCCAAGGAACTGCCTGGAGCAATAGGAGGCAGCACTGGATCTTTGGCATGGGTAAGAGGTTCTGCCCTATTTCCAAAGGAAGACATGGCTCCTGCCCCATGGCACTTCTGGTGTGTACAGATTCATGGATTTGGGCACTGTGCCTTGGTAGGCATACCCAAAAACTATTTTTTCTTAGCTGTCTCCAGCCCTCGAGTGACTCCTGCTACACAGCTCTCTAAGAATGTCATAGAGGGTGGGTTGAAGTGGCAGGGAGCCCTTAGTGAGTGAAGCAGAGGTAGAGGGTGTGGTGACAGGTAACCAATGGAGATGGAAGAGTTGTGGTCTGTCTTATGCTATGACACTGTTCCTTCTCTCCATAGTTCTTTGCCTCCATGATCTCTACATTCACACTGAACTCAGTCCTGAGCGTTTACCATGGCAATGCCTGGGACCTTTCTAACCCAGGGCTTATCAACTTCGGCAGGTTTGATAATGAGGTGAGGCATTGGAGGGGTGCTACCAGGGTGCTGGATGTCCTATGCCTGTGCCTGCCCTTCTGGGCATCATTAAGAAGTTACTGAGACAGTCAGGGCTAGCTGTCCCCATTGGTAACATTGCCCTAGAAGTTTTGTTCTGGGATGAGTACTGGGTAGCTCTGTCTTTCTGGAAAGCATTAAGCTCACTACATGGTGTGTCATGACAGCCAGAGTTCTGCAAAGACCAGGTGTTCCAAGATCAACACCTCCAATTGTGAACCTCTTCAACCAAGCAAGCAGGAGTCCTTTTACAGCTGCTTCCAGGCTCAGATTCCACAAGGGAATATGTAGGTTATGTGGGTATTGGGGCAAGCAGCTGCACTGCAGCATTTGCTCTCCAGTGACAGTTCTGCAGCCATCAGCTGTGAAGGTTGGTGTTCTTTGAGCAGAGATGATGACTTGGCTTTCATGTTGCCGCCATGCCAAAGGAGCTCAAACCCCTATTTTTCTTTGTTTACAGAAAATGGAATACACGATCCAGGAAATTCCAATCTTCATAGTTATGGGAGTGGTTGGTAAGATTGTTCTACTCTTTCAATTTAATTAGTCTGGTTCATCTCCTGTTTCTTGTCTGAATCTTACAGTGTCCTCATTACATCTCCTGAGGAGAATGAGAAACCCATTAAAGACACTGAAGCAGAAGACTTTTGTTGAGCCTGTTTAAGGCTTCCAAGGGCTGTAACTAGTTTATCAGGACAAATTTAACTTTCCTGGGTAAAGGTGAAAACTCTTTAATTCTGTGTTTCCCTGTTGCTTGGTAGTATTTGGAGTGTGACAAGGGCTTCCAGAAAGCCTGGGGAAAAAGAAAGTGTGGTGTTTAGAACTGGCAGGGGGGGTGTCTGGCTGTGAATTATGGAAGGAAATTTGGAACAGATAAGCTGTAAAGAATAATCTAATAAAACATTTCTGTTCAGATGCCACCTACCAGGCATGACACAGCACACATTTAGAAGCCCATACTTCATTTGTAGCTTTTGTTGTTTCTGTCTTCCTCTGTGTTGTCATGTGGTCACTAAACAAACCAGCTCTATCATGGCTGTGATTGCTCAGATCTGTCTGTGGGGTTTTGCAGATGTTTCCCTCTTGTATTTGCAGGTGGAATTCTTGGTGCAATGTTCAATGCCTTGAATTACTGGCTCACCATGTTCCGCATCAGGTGAGAACTAAATAAAACTCAGTCCCTTGGTATTAGCACTGGTGCTGTTCAGGCAGAGGCCTGTAGAGCTGAGCATGAGAAGACTTTGAGATGTGCCCTGATGCATCAGTAATTAAGATGGGACAGTTGGCTAATCTGACACATCCGAGTACAAGCCCTCAAAAGCAAGAAAACCAGCAGTTATGTATGTCATGTTTCCAACTGTCCATGTGTGATCAACCATTCATTCTTAAGGACAAAAAAATCCACGTTTGTTCATCCCTTCCACTCTGACCCAAAATAAATCTTCTCCTTTCATCATAATCCCAACTATATAAATCAATGATCCTTTCAGAAAGAGAGATTTTATTACAACATATGTACAAATCAATAGCTTGCTGATCAACCTCAAATATTTTTAAATATGCTTACAGAGAGACAGTTTCCCACTGAGCAGCTGCTCCTTGAATATCTTGTATAAGTATTTAATTAAATTATCCTGTCAACTTGTCAGTTTATTAACTGTTTTTCCTGCGTAGCAGTATTCTTTTGAAGAGAGCATTTTGTTTCTAAATTCCCATGAGACAAAAAAGACTTTTGATTCAGGGCTCAGAATTAGGTTTGTTGTGTTATGATATGATTGGAATAACAGAGACTTGGTAGGATAGCTTGCATGACTGGAGCACTGTTATGGATGGGTACAAACTGTTCAGGAAGGACAGGCATGGAAGAAGAGGAGGAGTTGTACTTTATGTAAAAGAGCCATATGATTGCTCAGAGCTCCAGTATGAAACTGGAGATAGACCTGTTGAAAGTCTCTGGGTTAGGGTCAGAGGGGACAGCAACAAGGGTGATGTTGTGATGGGTGTCTGCTATAGACCACCAGACCAGGAGGAAGTGGTGGATAAGGCTTTCTTAGAACAGCTAGTGGAAGTTTCCCACTTGCAAGCCCTGGTTCTCATGGGGGACTTCACGCTGATATCTGCCGGGAGGGCAGTACAGCAGTGCACAGGCAATTCAGGAAGTTTTTGGAGAGTACTGGGGACAGCTTCCTGGTGCAAGTGCTGGAGTGGCCATGCTCTTCTTGACCTGCTGCCTACAGACAGGGAGGAATTGGTGGGGAATGTAGTAGCGGATGGAAACTTGGGCAGCAGTGACCACAAGACAATTGAGTTCAGGATCCTGAGGAAAGGAAGGAAGGAGAGCAGCAGAGTAAGAACCCTGGACTTCGGAAAAGTAGACCTTGACTCGCTCAGGGAACTCATGGGCAGGATCCCTTGAAAGCCAGTCTGAGAGAGGGAAGAGTCCAGGAGAGCTGGCTCTACTTTAAAGAAGCCTTATTGAGAGTGCAGGAACAAACCATCCTGATGTGCAGGAAGACAAGCATGCCAGAAGGACTCTTTGGTAAACTAAGTCACAAAAAGGAAACTTATAGGAAGTGGAAACTTGGACAAATAAATAGGGAGGAGTATAAGAGCATTGCAGGGATGAAGTCAGGATTGCAGCTAGCAAGGGATATGAAGGAGGATGGGAAGGGTTTCTTCAAGTGCGGCAGTAGCAAGAGGAGGCTCAGGGAAAGTGCGGGTCCCTTACTGAATGGGGGAGGCTACCTTGCGACAGAGGATGCAGACAAGGCTGAAGTGCTCAATGCCTTCTTCACCTCAGCCTTCACAGGCAAGGTTAACTCCCAAACTACTGCACCAGGCAGCACAGTTTGGGGAGGAGGTGAGCAGCCAACAGTGGCAAAAGAACAGGTTAGGGACTGTTTAGAAAAGCTGGACGTAGATACAAGTCCATAGGGCCGTATGGGATGCACCCAAGGGTGCTGAGGGAGTTGGCTGATGGGATTGCAGAGCCATTGGCTATCATCTTTGAAAACTCATGGTGATCAGGACAGGTCCAGGATGACTAAAAAAAGGGCATAGCACCCATATTTAAGAAAGGGAAAAAGGAGGATCCAGGGAACTACAGACCAGGCAGCCTCACCTCAGTCCCTGGAAAAATCATGGAGCAGATCCTCAAAGAATCCATTTATAAGCACTTGGAGGAGAGGAAGGTGATTAGGAACAGACAGCATAGATTCACCAAGGGCAAGTCATGCCTGACGCACCTGATTACCTTCTATGACAGGGGCGGGCAATTATTTTGGGCAGAAGGCCTCTTACTGAATTTCAGAAAGCCATCCAGGACTGCATAACAGGCAGGCAGGCCAGGGCAGATTAATATTAATTTTCTACATTTTTTAGGGCCCCCGCCACCTGGATAGAATAGCTTGGCAGGTCGCATCCGGCCCCTGAGCCGTATTTTGCCCACCCTTGATCTGTGATGAGGTGGCTGGCTCTGTGGATGCAGGGAGACCAGTGGATGGTGATATACCTTGATTTTAGCAAGGCTTTTGATACAGTCTCCCAGAACATTCTTGCAGGCTGGGTGAATGGACTGTAAGGTGGATAGACAACTGGCTGGAGCATCGGGCTTAGAGGGTAGTAATCAATGGCTTGATGTGTAGTTGGCAGGAGGTATCAAGTGGAGTGCCCCAGGGTTCAGTCCTGGGGCCGGTTTTGTTCAATGTCTTCATCAACGACCTGGAAGAAGGCATAGAGTGCACCCTCACCAAATTAGCAGATGACACCAACCTGGGGGGAATAGTAGATAGGCTGGAGGGTAGGGCTAGGATTCAGTGACCTAGACAAATTGGAGGATTGGGCCAAAAGAAATCTCATGAGGTTCAACAAGCACAAGTGCAAAGTCCTGCACTTAGGATGGAATAATCCCATGCACCAGTACAGGCTGGGGACTGACTGGGTGGGCAGCAGCTCTGCAGAAAAGGACCTGGGGGTTACAGTGGACAATAAGC